ACCAGGAGGACCCACAACACCAGGAAGACCCACAACACCAGGAGGACCCACAACACCAGGAGGACCCACAACAGCAGGAGGATCCACAACACCAGGACCAGGGCAGCTGCGCTCTTCTTCATTTAGATTTGTTCCTTTGTATCTGCAGACACCAGCAAAGCTGAACAGCAACCCCGGGGCATCAGAAGAACAGTATGTGTGACATCAGTGTGTGTTCACAACCAGGAGGGTCGGACGTCACTGCAGCTGCTGGAGAGACGATGCACGCAGAGCGCCTTAGAGGGAAGTCAGCGGGTGGAAGGCCGCGGTTTCCACTGCCCGCCTGGCGGTGAGCAGGAGTTGACACAACTTGGTCATCACAAACGCTCCGGGCTGAAAACCCAGTCTGTGTGAATCTTGGCCACCACACGGGTTGGCAAAGCTCTGGAGCTGGTTTGTCCTTCCCTTTTATCCTTTTTCAAGAATGTGTTAATGTTAATGCTGCACATGAAACGGAACACACAGCGCACCGCRGCGGGCCAGCGCGAGCACCCACGCTGCTGGTTCAGAGGACCCCGTGATGCCCACAAACTCACCTTCACGGGCTCCGGCTCCCTTTGAGCTCAGCCTGACCTCGCCTGCCTATTGATCACTCACCAGAAACACTGGCACTTCGTTCGAATGGGACTTGGGCACTGATGGAAACGGGCTTGAGTGGGAATCTAACTTTGTAGGAACAGAGCTTGCCGTCACAACGCCCATTCCACTGGCTTTGGTGAGCCAGGAGCGTTTTCACTGGGGACAAGAAGAGACAGGAAGGGAGGCGACGTCAGGTTGTGACATGGGAGGTACACTGCAGGAAGAACGAGAGCGGCACTGCCGGAGCCACGGGCATTATGGCGCACTGAGACGACACAGCACTCAGGAAGGGGTGTGCAGGGGCATCTGAGGCCCCACGCTTGGGCTGGCAGGAGTCTGGGCACAGGCATGCCAGAGGCCAGCCCTTCCTACCCTGCCCCACCTGAGACTCCGACACCTGAGGTCCCATCTGAGCATCTGTGTGTTCTGATCCTTGTTCAGAAGGAGGACAGAACAGAAGAGTTGGCTGTACGTCTGCGTGAGCCTGTCTCTACCTTAGGGAAGAGAACCCAGAGAGTACTGCGACAAACCAGAGAAAGGGACTTGTTCTAACACTCCATTCTGCAGTTTTACTTTGTTCTTTGCAGAATTGTGGTAAACCCTTACTGTAGATAAAAATAAAAATGTCTAGACTCCCTGAGGCAGTAGAGATGGTGAGTTACTCTTGCTAGGCTGGACACTCTCCAGTGATCCTTCCACATCACTCAGCAATCTGAACTTATGCAGAAAGGAGAGAGAGAAATATTAATCAACTCAGTTTTTAAACTCTTATAAGTTGATAAGCAAAGTATTCTGTGCTAAAATACCTCTGGTGATGAAGAACTCATTATTCTTGAAAAACTCTTTTGTTTGGATAACACTGTGGTTATAAAGTATACCCTTAGTGTCCCAGCTCACTATGAAATGTGCCGATGATATTTGATTACGAAGCACTATAAAATATTGTTGCTAAATTCCTGTGTTAAGAGTGAAGCTAGCAAATATAATCAATGCTTTTTATCACTATAATCTAGCTCAAATGCCATGATTTAAACTCTGTTTTATCAAGACTTCAGTGATAGAATGATATTTGGCTTTTATCCAACATTAGACCACATGTTAACAAGTGAATATTACTCAATCATGAAAAAGGAAGTGGGTACTGATACATGCTATTTCATGGATGAGCCTTGAAAAGGTTATGCTAAAGAAAAGAAGCCAGACACAAAGGCCATAGATTGTATCCATTTAGACAGAATGTCCAGCCTAGGTCATAAAGACAGAGAGGAGATGAGCGGTAGCCTGGGGTGGCAGGGAAGGAAATGGAGAGAGACGACTCCTGGATCTGGGTTTTGAGTGTGTGAATACTACATCTGAAACTAGCGCTGTGGGCAGTTGTCGTCTCGAATAGACCAAACCCCACTGAATTCTATCTTTAAACGGGTGAATTTTACGGCATGTGAATTACACGGCAATTTTAAGAACAAGGGCCAGATCTGCAGTTATAGGACTGAAATAAAAAGTCACTGTGCGAGACGCTGCCACCCGAGGGACTCCGGACTCAGCACAACAGCCAAAATGCACACCAACCGCAGCTCTGCGTCCGCCTAACACCCACGCGGCAAGGAATGAACACAGGTCCTAGTCAAGGGTCCCGGGCTGTGTTTACCTTAATACTCCCTGACCCGTGAGAAGTTTCCATCTTTTTATTTTATAGGGAGGGTGTGTCGACTGCATCTCAGCTGTACTTGTACTTATGAAAGTTCAGGGAATTTCAAAGCCACAAACAGGTCCTTCAAAGAGAAGCTGGCAAGGTGAGCTGCTATTACGGTCTACTTCCAGCTCCCTGGGCAGGCTTCCTGGGGCTCCTGGGGGCCTAACTGCAAATGCATGACTCTGCTCAGGCACCTGGGAGGCTCCTGTTCCTCTCCAGTGACAGTCACCCGTCCTGTAAGAACCAAAGCCTGGTTTGGGGAAAACACTCTCAGAACAAAGCACAAATACGCTGACTTTTTTCGGATCACAAGTTCAAAATGTTACAGGTGTAGAACATCTTACTTCCCTGTGAATGCCCCTGAGAACTCCTGTATCAGACCACATTTTCCCCCCAAAAGAGAAAAGAGACCTTGCGTGATGGTTCCTAACACGACTGATGTCACCGTCACATAACCTACATACTGTATTCAACCTCGCGTTCTTGTCTGGTGGCCAGGGATTGTGCCTATCTCTTCCTACTGTCGGCTCCAAGGACTGTGCGTGAATCTTGGTTTTTTAGGTTCAGCTCCATGATGAGGCCTCACACCCCGGGAGGAACCCAGAGACCCATTAATTCTGCCTCCTCGGGATCCCGCCCTCTACTGCAGGGCTTCTTAGACGTGCTCACACTACACTGGGCTGCAAAGTGACCAAAGCACACTCAGAATCTCACAATAAAACTACTGTGCCGTCGTCCCCGTGGGCAGTGACGCACAGTGTCACCACACACCCACACAGCAGAGGGAAGGGGCCCTGGGACACTCACAGTTGTATCCAGGCGTGATGTGGTGCTGGGCTTCCAGGCTGGCCAGGGTGATGTGGAAGATGATGTGCAGCAGCAGGAAGGACAGGCTCAGGAAGCACAGCGACTTCAGCAGCCGCCCTGTGTGTCCTGGGGATGAAAGCAGAGGCTGTGAGGAACTGAGACCAACACCGCTCTGCCTCTCCAAGGGGTCCAGAGAACGTGTCCCTGTACCACCCGTGGTGGAGGCTGGCCCACCAGTCCAGGCGTGCAATGACCCCGGCCTTAATTGTTAGTCAATAGCCAAAATCCACCCTGCACAACATCACACAGTCAGCCTCATGTGCATTAAAACTCAATGTAATAGAAAAATGTCTTCTTACGCATTCTATGACATGTTATATGGCATTTTTTTTTAGAGAGAGAGAAAGAGAGAATTTTAACATTTACTTTTTAGTTTTCGGCGGGCACAACATCTTTGTTGGTATGTGGTGCTGAGGATCGAACCCGGGCCGCACGCATGCCAGGCGAGCGCACTACGGCTTGAGCCACATCCCCAGCCCCAATATATGGCATTTTTATAGTGGAACCGCAAAAAGGTTCTGGCCCAGAAAATTGTACAAAAAATTGCTGTCAGACTTGAAGGAGAAGGTAATCTGTATTTTATAAAAGTAGTTGTAGAGAATAGAAAAAGAAAGAAGATAGTCTGAAACATTTTGTAGTTAGGGTAAGTTTAATTTCAATAAAATAAGGCTGGAAGAGAAAACTATGAATCAATTTTACTTGTGAACATAGACCTAAACTATTAAAAAGATTTATTAAGTAGCTGAAATAGCACAGTAAAAAAAAAAGAATACATCATAATCAACTAGACTTTATTGCTGAAAACCAAGGGTGGTTTGACATTAATGGATCTGTAAGGGGATTCACATAGCAGTGGGCTGATGTCACGACTTTCTTCATGGACATAAAAGAAACACTTCTGAAAATTCAAAATGAATTCATGGTTAAAAAATTGAGAACAGGAACAGAAAGAAGCTTTCTTAAAGGACTGAGCCCATGGCTAAAGCAAGCATGCTCTTTCTGATACAAGTTTAGGCAGGGTCTCACTAATGTCGGAGATAAGGACACTCAACAATGTCACCACCAATTATCATACTGCTGGGCGTTCCAATAACACCGTAAAATTAAAACAAAGAATGAAGAATCTTATTAGCCAGAAATATTTATAGATAATATGATCAAGGAAAATAATTTTCAGAGGATATCATTATCAATATAGAGCATTGAACTGAATCCACAGACCAACTATTAGAACAAATGTAAGAATTCAGGAAATGACTGAGATACAAGACCATCTTGCAAAAACCAACATTCCTCCCCACAGTGCAGTAACCAGATAGAAACCGAGGCACAACTTGGTTAGCAATCAGAACTCTGCCACGGTTTGGTCAGGTGTCAGGCTGGGCCGCTGCGCACTGTTATCCAATCAAACACTCGTTAGGGGGCTGCTTGGAGTTTTCTGGTGTCACCACAGTCCACAGCCCACTGACTTTAACAAAGGGAGACTGTCCGCCACCTTCCGGGCAGGCCTGGCTCAATCTGCTGGAAGGTCTGAAACCAGGGAGGGGAGTTAGGGAAGGCAACTGAGGGCAGGAGAGGAGCTCAGCTCGCCCCCTGGAGATTGGTCTGTCTGGGACCTTCCTTCCTGACGGCCTGCCCTGTCTGCTGTGGACCTTCTTGGCCAGTTCACAGTCAGTCCTGCAAACCTCGACATAAAAGTCCTCAACCTAAAAGCTATGCAAAGAAATATTCAAGTCACATCTGCATATATTTCCTATTGTACTGCAACTCTCTCTGAAACTTGATTAATAAAAATGTATAGAAATACACACAGTTTAAAGACTTTTATGGATAAAAGAGAATAAATGAAGAAATACGTTAATTATGAATGAGATGATTTATGGCAAAGATGTCAATTTTCCCCAAGTTTGGTCTACAAATTCCATACAATTTCAAATAGCATGCAATAAGAAACTTCTATGTCTTCACCGAATACACTTCAAAATACCTAGAAGGGATGTTCTGAGGATCSCAACAAACATTTAAAAATACATTTAGGAATAAAGCTCTACGAGTTGCTCTGCTAATTTTGAAATATTAAGAAATAAGGTCAAAAGTGGGCAAAGCTGRTGTGTGCAAACAGACATTAAGGTAKGTTATAMACCTATRAGTTGAAACAAAATAAAKGAATAAAACAGAAAAATAGTCAAGTGCAATATCATACATGGCTAAGGTAAAACCCAACTTATTTAAATTAACTTGGCAAATGTCAAAGTTGACCCTACAAATTAAGAGAAAAGGGATAGGAATGACATCAGCGATGTGACGGGGTCAGAGGCCCCAGCTCTCACCTCCCCACAGAAGCACCCATGTTGGCAACCACCACGGATGAGAGTACTTTTGTGGGAGCCCCAGAGACTAGTTGAGTTACACCATCTCAATGGGAAAAAAAGTCCCAGAGTGAGCGTCCTGAAGAAGGCAAACTGAAAGGAGCGGTTTCCTTTATCCACAGAATCTCTCCCCAGAGTGGCGCAGCGTGGCGCTGGGGGGCCTGATTGCACTGCAGTTTCTACTCCTGGGCCAAGTGAGAATGACATGAGCACCCAATTTCCCAGTCTTGCCTATGCTGCCCAGGAGGCCCACTGTCTCATCCCACCCAGAACACGGAAGGAAGGGAGAAGCATGGATGGGTTGCCGGGAGACAGTGAAGAGCAGGAAGAAGAGTGTGTGTGATTCTCAAGAGCATCACCACCCTGGAGCCCGCTGACAGATTCCACCAAGAGACCCATCAYTGACCCTTGCAGGATGAGTCACCCAAAGACCTCCACAGCCCACTGATGCAACCACACCTTGGATCCCTCCTCCTGCRGACAACGTCTCACACATCCTTGTGCATGGGCTTGCTGAGCTCTTGCAGAGAGTATAGAGACTGCAGCAGCAAACACAGACCCTAGTAACTGGCTGGGCTTTACAGGTTAGCAAGAAGGTGCTCGACTTTGAGCACTTTGTTAGGSACCTACCCTAGAAAAAATCAGCGGTTGTCTCTCAGCACCAAGCATGGCTTTACTGATATGGGAGGCACAGGAACCCAAGAAAAGAAGTGACAAGAGGAGAGCAGCAGGTCTACCCACAGAAAAAAATTGAGAGAACCCTCTACCCTCACGGAATCTCAAATCAGGCTTACTGGTGAAGCGTTTTCTCTTCTGAGATTAGTCAATAAAGACTGGAGAAGGGCAAGTGCCAAAAAGGCTGAAAGGAGCACAAAGAATCAAGGAAACATGACACCACCCAAAGAAAAAACTGAAGCCCATCTACGTGAGAAAGCCCATATACAGGCTGAGCCCATATACATGAAAAGCCACAAATCTCCTGGCAAAGATTCAAAATAATCACCTTGCAATTCAGTGAGCTATAAGAAAATACAAYCAGCTAGATGAAATCAGGAAAGCTGTACATGAGACATTCAGTAAAAAAGGTAGGACCAGAAAAAAGGAATCGAGCAGAAGAATATAAAGCCTGAAGTGAAAAATTCAATAAAAACAGCTGACTGGGCCAACCAGAAGAGTCAGAGAGCTTGCAGACGGATTATTTGATATTACCCAGTAGAGGAAGGAACAAAATTTAAAAACAATAAAAAGGAAGTGAAAATAGGTTGTGGCAGTCATGGGACACCAGCAAGTGACCATTAGACACATTATAATGTCCAGAAAGGAACAGAATGAGAAAGGGGCAGAAAGTTAACCCCAAGGAACAATGGCAGAAAAGCCACCTCATCTGAAGAGTCAGATAGACATCAGGGCCCAAGAAGCCTAAAGAACGCCAACGAGTAAGGAGGTCTTCACAGAGATACACTATAATCAAAGTTTCAAAGGCCAAAAACAAAAACAAAAATTTAAATGAGCAAAAGAAAAAAAAAAAGTCATCACTTACCAGAGCCCCTCCAGATGACTGTGAGTGCTTCTCATCAGGCCTGAGAGAGTGGGAGATGTATTCAAAATGCTATGAAAAGACTTTCAGCCCAACCAGGCCACCCATGGACGMTGTCCTTCAGAAATGACAGGCAGGTGCTGGAGGGGCTCGGCACCACCGGACCAGCCTTATGAGAAATGCTGAAGGGAGGACATGAAATGAAAAGACACCAAAGAGCCACGTGAAGGGATCTGAAGACATGAAGCTCACTGATTAAGGCAAGAATATGGTCAAAGTCAGAATATTCTTAAGGCTGCAATGGTGCCATGTTGATTGTGTTGAACTCCAATGTAAAAGCTGAAATATGAAATCATTAAAAACTATCATCACAATAATTTATTTGTAGATATGAATTTTAAAAATGTGAATTGTGACATCAATAACATGAAATATGAGAGAATCAAAGTGTAGTTTTTACGTGTGACTGAAATAAAGTTGCTATCAAATTACGTAGATTATTATAACTAGAAGCTGTTTCATGTAAGTTTCATGGTAATCATTAAACCCAACCTTACAAGATGCACAAAAGGTAAAATGAATCAAAGCCCACCACTACAAAAAAAATCACATCACGAAGGGAGAGAATAAGAGAAGAAGAAAGAGCAAAGAGACKAGAGAGAGAGAGAGAGAGAGAGAGAGAGAGAGAGAGAGGAGAATGAACAAAATGCCAATTGTTGGTCCTGACCTATCAATTTTTTTTAATGTAAATGAATTAAATTATCCTGTTAAAAGATTGAGGATGATGAAATAAATTTAAAAACTAGATCCAACTGTATGTGTACCAAAAAATTCAGCTTTCAGGACACATACAGGCTGAAAATGAAGTTGAAAAGGGTAACTGAAGGAGAGCAGGGAGTGAACTAAGTCAGAAAGCTCTCACAAGAGACAAAGACGGTCATTTTATGAAGCTAAAGCATTCAATTCATAGGAAGGATAGAATAATTTTACACATACACGCACATGACCTCAGAGCACCCAGGTGTGCCTGTTAGTGGAGATGGATGGAGAGGTAGATGGCAGTACAATCACAGTAGGGTCCTGCACAGTCCAGTTCACCATGGCCACACCTTACAGACAGAAAAGCATGGGTCTGAGCAGCTCGGCGGGCGCTCCACTCG